GTCCTGGCTACGTGCTGCGGGGCTCCTCCGAGAGGAGCTGCCAGGCCAACGGCTCCTGGAGCGGCACGCAGCCCGAGTGTGAAGGTACCTTCCACCCCACGGCCTCTCCCCTCCTGCCAGCCCTGCCGAGGTGTCCCCGGATGGGCAGTGGGGAGGGTTGGGTGCTGGGAGAAATAACCCCCGTGTTCGGCGTTCCCTCCGCGTGCTGCGTGTGGCAGGGAGCCTCAGTTCCCCCCTTCCCAAACGTCTGGGGGGCACGTCTCACAGGAGGCTTTTGCAGTGCTAGACCATCACCCTCCTGCATGCCCAGCTCTGCTCTGCTGTGCGAGGTGCCCCAGGGTGGTGTGAAGGGTTTGAAGTCATCCATGGTACAAGCCAACATCTGGGATGGGGTACAGGGTAGGAGCAGCCTGTGGGATCTGCTCCTCGTTTCAGCTCTCCCTCAAGGCTGTCGTTCTCAAGCTCTCTGGAAGAATCACTGGGGTGAATGTCTCTTGATCTGTGTCCCATCTCCAGTTAGATGGGCAGAACTGCCCCGTTTTGGCCTCAGGAGATCTGTGGGCACCACAGCCCAATTCGTTGTTGCTTTGTGGAGGAAATGCAGAGGAATGAGAATTGCCAATAGCTCCAAACCTCTGTCAGAGCTGGAGCTGGCACACACCAGAGTCATTTACATTGAGCAGAAACTCAAAATGCAAATTATAATCCAGTAAGCATATTTTTGTGTTTGAAAACACCAAACCCCTTATTTTTTCATTTGAAGGAATCAAGTAAGACCCTATAATCCAATCTAATAAACCTCCAGCCGGATTCTCCAAGCTGTGCTGCTCACTGCTACTGTTTTATAGAAGTGTTTAAAACTCAGTGGGGGAAAGAACAAAAGCCAAACCCAAGGCAGGATACCAAATGCAAAGAAACCTGGGCAAGTGCTTCTCTCCAGCTATTTTGAAAGCCAAAAGCTCAGAGCGAGCTTGTAAATGAATTGGAAATTTATTCCAAATTGATGGAGCTCTTGATTGAAAAGACACTGAATCATGTTATTAATACACTTGGGTCTTGGGGTTGGGTTTTTTTTCCCATTCTCTGTGTTTTTTTTTCTTTGGGTGGAAAAGGCTCAGTTCATTAATCTCAGGATGAATAACCCATCACCTTCCGGAGCACCAAAATACGGATCCCTGGCTGGTTTTTTTTCGTGCTTGAGGAATAATAACAACAACATTCTGTCTATAATGCACTCGTTTAATGCTAAGTGCTGAGTGGGCAGTCTCGGAAGGAGATTTGCAGTGCTGAGCTGTGTGCTCTGTCTCTGCTGGGGGTGTTCACTGCCAGTGTTCAGCTGCGCTGTGGTGTCACAGCCAGCTCTCCAGAACGGGGTTTTATGAAAGGGAGAGGAGAGATTGCTTTGGGGGTGGAATTTGGGGCAGTCGGGGTGGAATTTGGGTGCTGAAGGAGAGTGGGAGGAAGGGGTGTCTCAGTGCTGCTGTGGAAGAGCTCTGGCGTGGCCGTGGAGCTGCTCGGCACGTTTGCTCTGACTCAGCCACTTCACTGCTCTCAGTCACCAGAACTGAGCAAAATCAGACCTGATGGGGCTCCACAGGTCACCAGCACTCACCTGCCCAGGGGAGTCAATGCAGATTGCTCCCCAGACGAGCTGCTAGATGAGGCCAGAGCTCTGGGTCCCTTCAGCAGGCGGGGGACATGTGGGTGAGTGGATGTGCAGGGGCACCGAGCGAGTCCGCACGGCAGTGGGAGGGGAGAGGAGCTGTTCTCCCCCTGTCAGCGAGGGCAAGATCCCCAAACAGGAGCAGTTACACAGCAGCTGCTTGACTCTGAAGTCCAGGAGCTGATCTTTGACCATTTGGTGTCTTCCTGTGCCAGGACCAGGCCTCAGAGGGACCGTGTTTGGCAGCAGGGAGCATGGGGGGGTCACCTTGAAACTCGTCAGCTCTTCATCCTGAGACCTTTTACCCCCTAGCATGTTTTTTTTTTCAGAAAACCCAAGGAATAGGGAGGCAGGAAGAAGTCACAACTGATTTTTTCCAAAATGTACAAATGGTTTGGAGTTAATTTAATTGCAGGGGCTCCTTCTGAGACTCCTGCTACAGTCTGGTTTACATAGCTCTGGTTCTGTTGTCCCCTGTAAGAGTGGTTTCCCTGGCTTTCTAAAATTGCATGTTTCAGGCCCCATTTACCTTTAATTTCTAGCAAGTTTTTAAAGTGTAAATGAAATTTTAGATGTTTCTTGGCTTCTTCCTCCTCCTTCCTGATGCCCTGTCTGTGTTCACTGAGCAGTGGTGCAGGAGGGAGCTCATCAGCTCCACTCTGCTGTACGCTCCCTCCTCCTTTTAGAGGCTGACCAGAAAATTTGCCTTTATAATATTTATTGTTTCTTCAAGTGAATTGAAAGTGCATCCAAACTGAGATGGGTCTCTGGCTGCTCCTTGGCAGTTCCAACAGACAGAAACATGTTTAAGTGGTAGCACTGGGGAAAGAAACTGAGTTTTGTCTCATGCTCATTTGACTGCTGAGGACATGGGAGATGGCAGGGGCTGGGATGTGGGGTGAAGCTGCTATTTTCTGTCTCTCCCTGCATGGTTAGGTGGGTTATGGGTTGCTGGTTAAATTAAACAGCATGGAAATCACCAGCCCTGCAGCAAAGGCTTTGAGACTCCAAAAGCTCTCAGCTGTGTCTTACTCCAGCAGGAGGTTGTGCCTGATGTGTCAGACATCATTAGGAGAGTGTTTCAGCCAGGCGGTCAGATGGCAGCAGAGCCCAGAAGAAGGTTATGAAGATATAGGCTGGAGGAGGGGGAAGGTGCAGGGACTGTGTGTGGCTCCAGTGTTAGCTGGACCTGCACTGGGAGCACCCACCAGCCTGCAGCATGTCCCTGGGGCAGTTTCTGAAGAGCAGGGCTTGCTGCCTCGTGCAGAAAGGTGCCTTCTCTTGGCCCTGGCTGGAGGAGAGACCCCTGAAACCAGCCCCTCTCAGGGTGTGCAGGGAGGTGTTTGCTGTGCACAACTTGGGGAGGTTCCCATGCATGGTGTAACAGCACTCTGCCCTTGGGCTGCCCTGGCCAGGGCTGCTCTGGGTGGAGAATGAGCATCACTCATTTCATGGGCAGCTACACTGGCTCTGAGCCAAGTGCCTGAACAGGACCTGGAGAAATTCCCTTCTCCCAGCAGCTTCTCACTGTAAAACACGTAGGAAAAAGCAAAGGAAGGCAAGAGGAGGGGAATCTTAACAAGCTCTTCAGAAAAAGCATGCATGGATTGGAATGAAATTAATTATTGCTGAGCTCTGGAGCACTCTGAGTGTTGGGATGTTTTATGGAGCAGAGGCCACTTTGTAGCATAAAGATTCCCCCCAGCAAGGACGGGCTCACGGGGAGCAGCTGGGGCTGGAACCAGGGTTGGAGGCAGACACTGAGATCTGTGCTGCCTCTGCTCGTGGGCCACCTCAGCACACACACACTGCTCACACCCTCAGATTTAGGTTGGCTATTAAGAAGAATTTCTTTCCTGCAAGAGTGGTGAGGATTGGCCCAGGCTGCCCAGGGAGGTGCTGGAGTCACATCCCAGCAGGGGTTCAAAAAAGGAGTAGATGTGGCACTTGGGGACATGGTTTAATGGCCATGGTAGTGCTGGGTGATGGTTGGACTTGGTGTCTTTAGAGGTCTTTTCCAACCTTAATGATTCTATGATTCTAAAAATGACACCTGGTTCCTCTCTGGGAGGCAGAACCAGGACAGAGTGTCACGGCACCAGTTTGCTGTGTGGGGTAACACAGATGGAGGAGTTAGGGAGGGACAGGGGAGCAGCGTGCCCTCGACCTCACAGACCTGAGGAAGCAGTGAAGTGTTGAGAGGAGCTTCCAGCTCCCAGGTTGGGGCAAGGAGCTGAGCTCTCAGGATGTCTCAGGAGCACACTGAGGTGTTTGGTTCTCTCTGTGCCATCTCCTGTTAGAGCTTCAGAGTTGCTTGGAGCCTGCCATGCTGAGCTCAGCCCATCTCCCCACCTGGAAAGTCTCCTGCTGTGGGTAGGCTTCAGAGATGTGCAAGAACTTGGTTGGGGTGGAGTGGGTTGCATTTAGCAACCTTTTCCATGGGGTCTGCTCAAAAACAACTTCGTAACAATAACTGTCAGAACGAGACTTGCTTTGGTAAAGAAACAAACCCAGAAACACCAGGGGGGGAGTTCTATAGCTGCAAGTCCCAGGGACATTTGGAATGTTTCAGCAGTGGCAGCAGGGTTTGGTGCTGTGGGAGCACCCTGCAGTGCTCCTCAGCCTGGCACAGGTCTGTGCTTGCCCAGTATGGACAGGCTGTGGGGCTGGAGTCAGGGCTCTTGGGTCCAAGGCACATCTGCTGGCTGGAGTATGAAGGGTCTGGGCTCCTGGGTTTGTCTGTCGTGTCTCCTGCAAGGTGGCAGAAGCCAAGTCTTGGGTGAGGGGAGTGGGACAAGCTGGCCCATGGCACCCCTCACACTCCTTGCTGTAGCTGAGCCAAACCTTTAATGCCCTATCAGTCATTTCAACTCCTGCAATAGTGTCCTGGTAAAGAAGCAATAACTCTTAAGAAATCCCCATCTGGTGCTGCTGATTTTCAGGTTGTCTTGAATTTTGATTTCAGCTAAAGGTGATAGAGTTTGAGGTTGTTAAAGAGCCGTTGGGGGGGGTGACTGTGGGACTTCCAGGCTCTGTGGGATTTATACCTGTTCAGTAACCGAAGCCAAAACCAGTCTCCTTTGGTGCCTCATTCATTTTACATCTCCCACTGAAGCCAAAGGGAATTGCCCCCCTTACTGCTCACTTACATGATTACATCCTATTTCTATTCCAATTACAATTTTAAAAGTCAAAAGCTTTCATCCCTTCGTTTATGGCTCCTTTTATATGCAGGTCAGAGCTGAGGTGCTCTGTGATTAAACCATTCCCACGAGTCTCCTTGTAGTCACACAAGTTATTACTTTTGGGTCATCTGTGAGCCTTTTGGCCACGTTGGGCAGGAGAGAACAGCTGATGTCTGGGCAGGCGGTGAAAGAGTAATTTAGAGCTTTTTCTGGGTTGATAGAATGTGACTTTTATCCCAGCATCTCCTGGCAATGACACTGTGTGTCACGGAGATGGTGGCTGCATGAGGAGTCTGGGAGGGGAGCACCCCCCAGCTGGTGCTGGTGCCACACAGAGTTTCTGTGCACGCAGTCCAGGGTGGTTGTTAGTTCCCTCCTGTCAGACAGATCTGCCTCTGATGAGCTGGGGTGTTCCCAGGCTGTCAGCAAACCAGGCAGAGGAAGACTTCTCACCTTGCCTTGGTGGCCTGTGCTCCTCGCTCTCCTCTGGGGTCCTGAAGTTGCATCTCCCCATGGAGAACACCCAGGGACATCAAGGGGTGGGAGGGAGGTCCCAGAGCAGGGACGGGTCACCTTGTGTGCACACAGAGTGATGCTCCTGCAGAGGGTATGGTGGGAACAAAGAATTTCCTTGTCCAAGAGCTGGGGGTTGTGGTTTGAGCCTTTCCTTCATTGCTGTGATTTTCTTCCACGTCCCATAGTCTCAGAGTAAATGAGGGCTGCATGCAATTAGTGCAGGTGCTTATTGTGTCACGACAGGGCTTCCTGCACCACCATTCACTCCCAGGCTTGTTTTATTGTTGTGGTGTTGAGGTACTTCAGACATAAAACTTGGGCACTGACAAACCTATAATTGTATTTCCACAATATTCTCCCTCCTGTGGGAGCATAATTGGGTATAGCTGGGCAGTGAGCAGTGGGAGAGCAGCAGGTTCCCTTCCTGCCTCTGTTCCTTTGAAGTCTGCAAAGGTGGCTTTGGCTTCTCAAAGGGGCCAGAGGCAAAGCTCAGGTCCAGGCTCCCGGAGGGTGGGGAGTCCCCAGGCTTGGCACAAGCTGCTTTATTAAACTAGGGCCACGTGTGAGACTCAGAGCTGGGATAAGGCCCTGCAAAGAATGGTCCCAAGTTCTTCCTTCAGTGGGGAGGAGCAGCAGCAGGAGGTTGCTGCCAGGCTTGGGGGTGGTGGTGGGCTGCAGGATCCACCCAGGAGAGGAGCAGGGCTGGCACTTCAAGGACCCAGGGGCTGCAGGGCTGGAGGTTTTTTCTCAGCCCCCTGGCAGGGATGCTGCACACAGCCTTGGGGCGTGCCTGGCAGGGCACAGCCCTTGCTCCAGGCTGGGGAGTGGTGTTTGGGCTCCTGTTGGGTCGATGTGGCTGACTCTCCATGGAACAGCCCATTCTGTCTGAGCTGACCCATGGCCTTTGCAGCTAACCTGGCTTTTGTTACCAACAGCCAACTGTGGGAGGAGAGCTTTGGGTTTTGGTTGGGGTGGAGGTCGGTTTTGGCTCGTTCCTCTTTCTTAACTTTGCCATTTTGCTTTGCAGTTATCTCCTGTGGCAACCCAGGGACACCCAGCAACGCCAGGGTGGTGTTCAACGACGGGCTGGTCTTCTCCAGCTCCATCATCTACCAGTGCCGGGAGGGCTTCTACTCCACAGGAGTGCTGAGCAGGCACTGCACGGTGAATGGCACCTGGACTGGGACCAGTCCAGAGTGTACAGGTGAGCACTGGGAGAGGGGCCTGGAGGATGAGGTGAACGGCGCTGCCAGGCTCTGGGGTGGGCTGTTAGGGATGGGTTGTGAGGCTGTTGGGGATGGGTTGTGGGGCTGTTGGGGCTGTTGGTGATTGGTTGTCAGGCTGTTGGGGATGGGTTGTCAGGCTGTGGGGCACCCGCTGTAGATGGCCACACACCCCAGGTGCCACGCTGGGAAGCTCAGCTCAACACTTTGCTGGCAGCAGTGGTCTCTCAAGCTGCCATTTCTGCAGGTACCTAATGCAAAACTTTTGCTTTGGGTTTGTTCTTTTCGAGCTGGATGAAGGGAGGTCTGTTATAACTTCATGAGTAGATGCCAAGTGAGCTGGAGGGGCTCTCCAGGGCTGCTTCTGAACATGAGCCCTGCACTGGGCTGTGTGTGGGCAGAGCCCCTGCTCAGAAGCCCTCAGTGAACGTGTTTGGTTTCCTCACAGCTCCACTTGCAGGTGCCTGCAGCAGGGACGTGGCTGATGGCAAACGTGATCTTACATAAGAGTCAGTATCTGGGGTAGAGAGGGGGCTGCCATGGGCAAACTGGCTGCCAGCTAGCCCAGATTCGACCCAGGTTTTCTTTAATGTTTAATGTGTGTTAATACTTCTTGCAAGGTCTTGATGTGCCATTAAGATCACTGCTCACTCCACTGAGTAGAGGAGAAAACGTTTTCTCCACGTGCTGTAGCCCAGCCCAGTCCATAGCTAGTGCAGCTCTGCAGATCCTCTGTGCTACACCTTCCTCCACCTTGAGTGGAGTTATAAAACACTCAGGACCATCAGGTTCTTGGGGCTCCTGTGCTACACCTTCCTCCACCTTGAGTGGATTCCATCCTGCATTATAAAACGCTCAGGACCATCAGGTTCTTGGGGCTCCAGAAGGGTCGGTCAGAAAGGCTTCTTTCTTTTTCTCTGGCAGTGATCAACTGTGGTGACCCTGGTGTGCCAGCCAATGGCATCAGGCTGGGCAGTGACTTCACCTACAACAGAACAGTGGTGTTCCAGTGCACGCCTGGCTACATGATGGAGTCAGACAGGGCATCTTCTCTGACCTGCACGAAAGACCGAACCTGGAACGGTACCAAGCCTGCCTGCAAGGGTAAGACTGGGCTCTCTAAATATTGAAGGATTCAACTTTTACATGCCCCAGACTTCTTGTAACTTGAGTCAAGGTAATAGGCAGCAACTGCTACATAGTGCCTGGAGCCCACCTGGGACCTTCTCAGCCCTGTGATTCAATCTATCCCTGGTGTTTGTGGCACTTGCACAGTTTTATCAACAACACCTTGCTTGCTTTATCAATCATCACAATATGCCTGGGAGGGAGGCAATTGCTGCTGTACCTGTAGTAGAGGAGGAAGAGTGAAGCACAGAGAGCAAAGTGACTTCACAAAACCTCAGATCAAACTGGAATGAAATATTGTGTTTTGCAAGCACACGCTTTTTGGCGTCATCTAGAAGGCTGAAAAACGTTTCTTCCACCTCCTTTCATTACTTCTCAGTTCTGAGATTGTCTCTGTAGTCCAGAGATAGGAAAGGGAAATAATAGAGCAGTTGCAGGACAGGCTGGATCTCTTCTGTGAGTGTTTGACTCGCCCACCGAGCGTAGATAAGGCTTGTAGCAGGCTCTGTGGACTTCCTTAGCAATCTGGAAAATTCGCCTGTCATGATTCTGATATAAATTCAGACCGTATAGAAAATTCTAAATACACTCCAGTTCCTTCAGAGGCTGTGAAGAGCAATTCTTACACTCCTCTCATTCTCTCCACCGAGCTAATGTTGCAAGAATAATACAGTGTGGCCAGAGTCTCATCTGGAGGCCAGGCTGATTTGCATGAGCTTAGCATCTTTCCCAGTGCTCCCCTGAGCTGAAAAGCAAAGCGCTGCAAAAATGTCACATTCAACCACCCCGGAGTGGATGAAATACAGACTAGTTGTTGATTCAACTGCTGATCTGAAACTCAGCCAGGTTGTCCAAAATGTATGAATCTGTCAGGGAACTGCAGATGAGTTTTCACACGAAGTCACGGTGGATTCTTGGCTTCAGCTGGAGAGGAACACCGCCTCCGAAATCTGACTTGGAGATTAGAGACTGGGTTAACTCCAAACTTCAAAGTCAAATCCTGAGGTTTACTACAGCACGCACAGCTGGAGAAGTTTGTAGAGTCCCCTGCTAGGCCAGTCCTAGGAGATGCTCTAGGAGAGCAGAATATAACTTTGATCCTGCATGAATTTGCTTGTTAATGGAAAAAAAAAAACCTGCTGTGAGAAGAACTGAACCTGCTTTTGTTTTTTGTTCAGCTATCATCTGTAAACCCCCACAAGCCATCCCCAACGGGAAAGTCGTGGGCTCAGACTTCAGCTGGGGCTCCAGCGTGAGCTACGCCTGCCTGGAGGGCTACCAGCTCTCCCTGCCTGCAGTGCTGACCTGTGAGGGCAACGGCTCCTGGAGCGGGGAGATTCCCCAGTGCTTCCGTGAGTAGGCAGCCAGCTGCCCCGAGCTGGGGGCAGGACCCTGCCTGAAACCCCCTTGGCTGGGGCTGGGCTGCAGACCTGGTTGTTTGATGCTCCATCATCTGTGGTGTCTGTGTAGCTGGTTTTAGTGTCAGCTCTGCCTTGCCTGGCAGTGTCTCAGAGGGCACAGATGGACCATGCCTGCTTCCTGAGCCCCGGGAAAGTCTTGCATGAGGTGAAGTCAGTGGGAGCTTTGAGTGCTAGAGAGAAACCTGGTGATGCTTAGAGTGCCTGTAGATAGAAATCTGAATGCTCTGCCCACCTCCAACAGCAGCCAGGTTGCTGGGAGTCCCCACCAGGCACCTCTGTAACGAGGAGGCAGTGAGTGGCCAGGGGGACACAGTCATCATTCCACCTCTTAGGATGGAGATGCAAGGTCACGTCTGCAACAGGTCTGAAGATCTCACATGTTCCTGTCCAGCAGACATCTTCAAAACTGGCTGTTTGTCCACGTATCTTCCCAGTGACTGAGGCTCCTGCAGTCAGAGCTCTTGAAAAACCTTTGACCAAGGGCAGGGTGGTGTTGCAGCAGGAGCTCGGGGTGATTGGTGGAGGCAGAGCTCTGGCTGGGTGGGAACCTGTGTGCTTGATACAGGAACTAATGCAAAGAAATTAGTTAAATGTCTGGTAATGATAACGGCAGAGTTAAGTTTCTTTTCCTGGCTGAGTGGCTGGCAGCTGCACAATAGCCATTTTCATATTAAATCCTACAAAGCCCTCACCGTGTTCCTTGCACCTTTGCTTGGCTCTTGTGTAATTAGCAGGCTTTCTGTGTGACACGGAACCATAGAGCAATTTGACATCGTGCAATTAGAGAAACATTTTAAAGCTAAGCATGCTGTTTAAGGGGGGGAAAAAGTGAAGAGAAGAGGGGGGAGAATATAGGAGTTAATCAACAGCAGTTGATGAGAAGGGAATGGGAAGGGAAGCAGCAATCCCATGCACTGCTGGCTCCGCGGGCGGGCGCAGGGCTGGGCAGGGGGAGGGCTCTGGGCCAGCTTCAGCCCCTGGCCTGGCTCAGGAGGAGGCTGGCCTGGCTCAGCGTGGTTCTCTGCCCCTTGCAGCCGTGTTCTGTGGGGACCCTGGGATCCCTGCCCAGGGCAGGCGGGAGGACAGAGGCTTCACCTACCGCTCCTCCGTCTCCTTCTCCTGCGTGGCCCCGCTCCTGCTGGTGGGCTCAGCACGGAGGTTCTGCCAGTCTGATGGGACCTGGAGTGGCACCCAGCCCAGCTGCATAGGTAAGGGGAGATCCTCTGTCCTGGGAGCTGGGGGGGGTCACCTGGGGTCTGCCCTTCGTAGCAAACCCAGGTTTCATTTCTGGGCTCAGAGAGGTCGGTGCTTTGTTCCCTTGAAAATGGGAGCGGGTGGAGATGATGCGTTTGGTTTGTGCATCCTGCCTGGTGGTAAACAACCCCTCTGCTGCTCCTGGGACTCCCTGCTCAGACTCAACGCCTGTCCCCATCGTTCCTGCCCTGCTGTCAGTCCATAACGTGTCTGAGGAAGGTGATCTGCTCCCTGCTGCTGCTCCCCAGCACGGTGCTCCTGCTGCTGCTGGGCAGGAGGGAGAAGTCCCTTGGCAGAACCCCCAGGTTTGGCCTTTGCACGATGGGCTGTGGGAGAGCCTGCAGAGCGTGGCACCACACACGGGTCCCAGAGGCTGGCTCGTGAAAAAGAAGATGCAGTTTGACCCCGGAGAGCAGCCGTGGCTGCTGCAGAGCAGAGCTCACAGGAAGGGCAGCAAAACCCAGTTCTGCCTAAAGGGTACACGGGAGAGCTCTTATGTTCTCTGCTGCCTTTGAATTACACCCAGAATGGCAGAACAGCAACTGCTACAAGTATAAAAGTGCTGTACACAGAGATCAAAATCCTCCAAATCGCTTTGCTTAGCTGCAGTGTTGGGATTCAGGCTGAAATTCCCACACATTCCTCAGGTGGCCATTTTCTGGGACTTCCAGAGCCCTTTGAAACCTCCAGGAGGTGTGTGATCACAATTAGTCACAGCATTCTTTGCCTGTTTAAAGCTCTGGGTACCTTCCTGAACTCTGGAGCTCCTGTAGTGATAAACCATGTGGGCTGTGGGCTGTGTGCTGGCACCTTGACTCTGCCTGAACACCACCATCCTCACCTTGTGTGGGCACCTGGGGCAGAACTAGATCTCAGGCTGTTCTCCACTGTTGTCAGTTGTCCTAGCTGCAGCTTAAATCCATCACCAGTTACAGTAGTGTGAAAATACTCATGGCCTGAACCTCCAAGTTGATTTCACCAGGAGATTCCTCACATACAAAGAGTTGGGAGCCCCTGCCTGCTGTTGTAAATATTGGCTTTAAGTGGTTCATCACTTTCTTCCAAATCCTTGTCTGGGATCCTGTCTTACCTACGTGGCACCCAGCCCTCCAGAGCTGCCTGGGGTCCAACCCAGCAAATACAGCTGGTTGTGCTGCTGCTGAAGTGCACTTAGAACGTGTCTCCCCAAAACAAACCATGAAGAGGGAGAAGACTCATGTGTCTACAGAACCTTAATCAAAAATGTCACTTCCTGGCACAAGCAGCTGAACCCAAAGCATTGTATTTATTCAGATCTCACCCGTTTTTGAGATCCATTAGATTGCCATTGCCACAGATCCCCCCAGATGCAGCCAGGAGACCAAGGCTCTGCCCTCCACCCTCTGCCATCCATCACCTGCTGCCTCATCCAGCGACAGGGCTCTTCATTTATTTCTTTTAGACACTGTGATTTATCTGGGGGCTTCCATGGAAACTGCATCAGTGATAGATGACAAATGCTGAGTGGAACTGAGAAACAGAAAATGAATTGGCTTGTGTGCCACAGCCCCACATCAGCCACATTCTGTATCCCTCCTTTAGTTACTCATCGCAGCTCCAAGGACCTGGGGGTGACACCAGCAAGTGCATGATGTTTCAGTGTGAAGAGACCAATAAGTCACCTCCTAAGGAATAAAGGCATAAAAATAAACCACTGTGCTGTTAGGTACAGGAGTTGTGCCTCATTGTCCTGTAGCTGCAGGCTCTGGTGACAGGTCACTCCTGTCCCACTCCTTTGAACTGCTGAGACTTGGCTTAGTTTTGGACAATCCTGCTAGTGGGAGTATTCTGATTAAGTGTAGGGAGGGATTTGCTGTGGTTCTTCTTGTCACAAGGGGAGGGAAGAAGGCTGGGAGTGCAGAGCAGGCTCTCCTCTGACTGCTCTCTTCAGTGGGTGCTCCAGCTCCCTGCCAATGCAGCCACCCCTGGCTGGGCTCCAGAGCATCCCTGTGGATGGAGGTTTGCTCCATCCTGTGCTCCCAAGGAGCAGGGAAGTTGCTGCTGCTGAACTGCCTTTCAGACAGAAGCTTCAGTTCTCTTTGCTCAGCTTGGGATGCTGGTATTGATGTGATGCATCTCTGCCTTAATTCCATTGATGTCCTGCTGCTGTCAACATGCTGGGAAAAAAGAAAGTGGTAGATGCTAGAAGTGTAGCAACAGATATCCCTGCAGAATTGTGAGTATTCATCTTCTGATGGGTTGAGAATAAACGAGGCATAAAGAGAGATTATATATCTGAGATGCATTAAAATTCCCAGCCCCCATCTATCACTGTGAAATAGGGGGAGGTTCCAGGGTGAGCATGTGAGCAATGGCTGAGCTGAGCCCAGGAGGAGGAAGGTGCTGACCCAGCACAGGAGAGGACAGAGTCAGCCCTGGGTGCAGGGTCAGCCCTGGGTGCAGGGGTGGCCAGGAGGAGCTCAGGGCACAGCACTGTTCGTGTGCAGAACAGGGGAGGGGGAGAGTCATCCCTGACACACGATTCCTGTTCTTGGGAATCCTCCTGGGTGGCAGTGCCTCTGGTTAGGTTGCCTTACAACAGTCAGGGATTTCAGAAACACAAAGCTCCCTGTGTTTGCCCTCCTTGCTGAGCATTCCTTCTGCAGCAAAGTATTTCAGTCTCGTGGCACGGGCGCGGCGCGATCCTTCTGCGTGGAGAGCAGGGCAAGGCAGAGCTCTGCCCTGGCTTCCAGCTTCCAAACGCTGCCTCTTCGTTTGCTTTTTCTTTCTCCTTTCAAGACCCCAGCCTCACGACGTGTGCAGACCCTGGCGTGCCTCTCTTCGGGATGCAGAACAACTCCCAGGGCTACCAGGTACTGCCCCAGCAGCGGGGTCCCCTCGGCTGCACCCCAGCACTCGCTCTGCTCACTCCCTGTCAGAGCCCTGGCGTGTCCTCCTGTGAGCAGGACATCCTGGTGTGCTCCCTGAGACCTCAGAGTGTGTTTGTGTGGGATTAACTAACAATGCCTTATTTATGGTATTAATTAGAGTGCTAATTAATAGTTATTACTGTAATGAATACTCATGTCGCAGACACAATTGCCATTAATTTTCAGATGAAATTCTGGAGGTGGTTTTCTGAATCTCAGCTCCTGTACAGGGTGAAATCAGTGGAAGGGAGAGGAAAACCCAAAGCAGTGCCCGGGGTGCTGCACCCCCAGCCCCAGCTGCTGGCCCCACGGGTGCCCATTCCCTGTGATGGGCCTGGGATGGTTGATACCATGGGGCTGCTCCTACCAGCATGGACCTTTTGGTTTTTCTGCTAATTAGTTATCTTAATCCTGGGTTTTAATGAATTAATTCTAGCTTTTAATTAATACTGAGACACCATTAGTCTGACTTTTGTAAGGGATGCTGGTCTGAGAGCTGCAGCCCGTGGTGGAGCCACCTCAGGAGCTCATGCAGGGGGTGAGGTGGTGGCTGGAGCAGAATGTCCCAGGGAAAGGGTGTCCTTGGGTGTCCAGGGGAGCACAGCAGCCAGCTGAGAGCCCAGGAGTGCTGAAACCCATCTGCAGGGTCAGCAAGGAGGTGGCTGTCGGGGTACAGCCCTGCTAGGGAAGGTGAGAAGGGTGCCCAAAGCCCTGCTTGGCAATTTTATTCCAGCATGTTCTGCTTTTAAAAGGCAATCCAGCTGCAGTGACAGGGCTCACAACATTGTACTGCTTTGGTTGAAATAATAATAATGTGGTTGAAACCAAATGCAAAAAAAAGTGGATAATCTGCAGGATGTATAAGCAGACCTCAGAAATGGTGAGAAATTGGGTTTGGGGCCTTGTGACCCTTTTTGCAGATTGGCATTTACAGTGTAGTGACAGGAAGTTTGTTGATCCTGCTCACACTGAACATCCCTTTTGGCCAAAATTTCAGCCCATCTTGATAGCCCCTGTTTGATTGCTGGCTTGGGGTATATTTCAAAGACAAAGCAGCCTTGGCTCCATCACCAAAAGCAGCAGCTCAAGGCCACAGCTTCCCAGGGGCTCTGGGAGGTCCCTCAACACCAGACTTGAGCAGGGTGGTGAGGGTGGAACCTCTCCAGCATACAGAAGTTGTATCACAAGCGGGTGAGCCCGTGGCTGTGGATGGTGGATGACATGGGTTTATCTCCTCTGACAGGTGGGGAGCATCATCTTTTTCAAGTGCCAGAAGGGATACCTGCTGCAGGGCTCCACCACCAGGACCTGCCTCCCCAACCTGACGTGGAGCGGCGTGCAGCCCGACTGCGTCCGTGAGTCTGGGGGAGGTTTGGGGGGAGGACCCTGGTGCCTTGTCCAGGCTGCTGCCCGGGGCTGCTGCCCTGCAAATGTGGCTCTAAAGAGCTGCTGGTGGGGGACAGCTCTCCAGAAACACATCTTGAAGAAAAGGGAGATCACACAGTCACTTCTCTCCTGAGCAGGCTACACCAGCACTCACTGCTGAGTTCAGCTGAGATGCTGTTTTCACTTGTCCCTTCCTCAGAGGCATGGTTTCAGGTGAGACTCTGTTTTGTGCTTCTGAAAGAGCATTTGATGGCTGAGATGTGAGCTCACACTCCAGGGACTGAGGTTAACATTTAGCCAGGAGGGCTCTCTGGCAGAGCAGTGTTTCTCCTCAGCTTTAATAACATGTTGCTGGCTCTTTTAAGCTGTCTATCATCTTTTCCCTGCTACACCAGAAGGAGTTTAATGTTATTTAAGTGGTAATATCCATCATAGCCCCTGAATCAGAAGTATTAAAAAGCTTTTTCTTCTCCCTTGTGTGAGGTGGTTTATTGGTGAGAGATTTTTTCTGCTAACAAACCCTGTAGGTGCTTGTGCTGCAGCCCAACTGGGGCACCCACCTTTAAAAACCTCTCACGTGTAGCAGAGGAGGAGGGGGGGTGCTGTGGAAGGAGCTGCCCTTCCCCACTGCTCACCTGGGTGCTGGGAACACAGCCCCACGTTCACAGGCTCACTCTGCTCAGCTGGGAGATGCAGGGATGCAGCAGCAGCTCTGGCTCTACATGGGATTGTGCCCCTGGTGCATTGACATAGAGGATGGTTTTGGCTTAGCCGTGCCAGCAAGGGCTACTGAGTTTAAGTTTAAGGCTACTAGGTTTTGGGTGAAGGCTTCTCATGGGCAGCATGGGGCTGGCTGCAGTTGCTGCTGCTGAGAGCTGAGCTGCTGCCTCCCAGCTGAGCTGCACCCCAGAGCTCCCAGTCCAGGTGAGTCCTCCAGCTCTCTGGGGTTTGTGTTTCATCCTCTGTAGAAGGAGGATGAAGATAACACCTCACAAAGGCTGCCGAGGATTTGTTTGCATTCATGAGCAGTTTGAGAGCTGCAGAAAGGGCAGATTTGCAGCAGGGGAGCTTCCAGGCTTTGGGATTTATCCATTTTGTGTTGTAACTTCTCAAGGGAAGTGCTGACACATTTACAACAGGACCTGACAGAGCAGGGTGGCCACGGACTTGCTTTGGTGGCAGGAGCTGGGCAAGGTCAGCTTTGATTTCTGTGGCCAAATCCCAAAAGTTACTGAGGAGTCACAGGAATTCATGACTGTTGCACACTTCTGGGGACTTACTGTCTGATCTGATGGACTGGTGGGTGCAGATTATTAGTGGGATACTGGCACCATGAGGAGAGACTATACAAAACCAGAACTGTAATGGATTCAGTGGAATCACTGGCTTAATTACTGGGTCTTGATAATCCTGTAAAGGCAGTTTTCAGTCTGCAGATAGATCTGGCACACGGATCTGGGGAGCTCAAAGGAAGGAGGGAAGCATCTTTAGCATCACTGGGTTTTGCCTTTTTTCCCCTGAAAAGGTGGGGAACAGCAGAGCCTGATTTTCATCTCCTGGAAGCTGGAACCAAGTGAAGGATGCCCCAAGAGCTTTAGCCAGAAAGAACAATCTAGCAGCAAAGCACGGGAAGGGCTCTCATTAAATCATCCAGCTGGGGAAAATCCAGGCATGGCATTGTCTCCCTCAGCAGAAAAAAAGCTCTGGGAAGGAATTTCTGTCCCTGCTGCCCTCCTGGTGTCACTACTCTGCCCTTCTGTGGCCGGCTGGACGGTGTCTCTCATCTCCTCTCCTTGTGCTTTCCAGCTCACCACTGCAAGCAGCCAGAGACGCCCTCCCACGCCAACGTGGGAGCTCTGGATTTGCCATCCCTGGGCTACACCTTGATCTACTCCTGCCAGAGTGGGTTCTACCTCACCGGGGGCTCCGAGCACCGCACCTGCAAGGCAGACGGCAGCTGGACGGGGAAGCCTCCGATCTGCCTGGGTGAGAGCCCTGGGTGGGGTGACCCTGGCACTGGGGGTGCCCCAGGAAACGGCTCTGGTGCCACCTGAGGCTGGTTCCTCTTGTCCTTGGGAGCAGAGCCTGACCCCCACCTGGCTCCAGGCTCCTGTCAGGAGCTGTGCAGAGCCAGAAGGTCTCCCCTGAGCCTCCTTTGCTCCAGGCTCAGCACCCCCAGCTCCCTCAGCTGCTCCTCCCCACACTTGGGCTCTAGACCCTTCCCCAGCCTCATTGCCCTTCTCTGGCCAAACTCCAGCCCCTCAGGATCCTTCTTGGAGTGAGGGGCCCAAAACTGAACTCAGGATTTGAGGTGCATCTGCACAAGACAACAATTCTTCTTTACCTCACCCCCTCTTTTACTTACCTCAGGGTCTTAGCTCAGGAACATGGAATGCTCTGACCTTGTAGTGGAGCTGTGTGGCTCTCCTGGAGCCGGGTGGCTTTGCCTGGACACGTGGTGTGGAGCAGGGGAGGGCAGTTGTGAAATCTCGGTGCCGTTTCAAACGGGCTGGGCAGGGACTCATCCAACCCCCCAGACATGGGGACGTGCAGCACATTGCATCCCTGAGCGATGCCAACCAAAGGTGCCCTGCGGTGGCACCAGCACAGCAGAAGTGTCATCCTGGTAAAAAACCCTGATAAAAATGCCAGCAGTGGTTTCCCTCTCTTCCAGCTGACGTCCGGCCCAGCGGGAGGCCGGTGGGCACCGCGCGGGACCCGCCGCTCGCCAAGGTCTCAGGTAGGCCAAGGTCTCAGGTAGGCCAAGGTGTCAGGTAGGCCAAGGTCTCAGGTAGGCCAAGGTCTCAGGTAGGCCAAGGTGTCAGGTAGGCCAAGGTGTCAGGTAGGCCAAGGTGTCAGGTAGGCCAAGGTCTCAGGTAGGCCAAGGTCTCAGGTTGGAGCCAGCCCTGGGCCTCACCGAGCCCATCCCCTCCACCCCTTCCCCAGGGCAGCCAGCTGCCCGACTGCCCTTGCAGGTCTGGGGGCTGCTGGGCTGGTGGAAGCCACCCCCGTGCCCCATCTGTCCGTGCCTCACTGGTTATGGAGAGGTGCCTTCAGGGAACTGGGCACCAACTCCTCTGCCCTCCTCCCAGGGCACTCTGGAGATTTGAATCCTCCAGGATGTTTTATGTTAGACCTTTTTTTTAAAAAAACAAAACAAAAACCAAAACAAAAAAAAAAAGACAATAAATACCCATACACACCAAAAAAAAACCCCAAAAGGTCTTGTTAGCTTTTCCTAAGAAATTGTTTCAGAGGCTGGTTTGTTTTAAAAAATTTAGTGGCATTTTTTGTCATAACAACAAAATTAAACTCGTCAGCTTGTTTATTCTCCTGTCTTTGGCTTTGTACTTGGTGGTGATAACAGCGAGTGGGTGAGATTTGAAATGTTTAGATATGCATTTGTCAATTCAAAGAAAGGAATTTGCTCTATTTGGGTTTCTGAGAAATGGAAATTAGTGGCAATATTCTTGTTTTACTCACCCCCAATTGCTGTGGTTTCTAGTGCCTGCTGACGTGTTTGCAAGGAATTCCCTTTGGAAAGGCTCCTATGAATACCTGGGGAAGAAGCAGCCTGCGATGTTGTCTGTCACCAGCTTTGACCCTGCCACCAGTAAGGTCAATGCCACCCTGATAGACCACAGTGGCGTGGAGCTCCAGGTGTCTGGTAAGGGAGCAGACTGGCCACTGCTGGGGATTCACACTTGGCATGAGTGGTGTCAGAGGGCGAGGGGCAGTGTCATCTGCTAGACGAGTGATGGTCATGCTCTGGTAGAGCTTTACAGAACCACCCAGGTTTGAAGTCTCCAGTCTTTGCTTGGACAAAATCACATACCTGAGTTTGCTGTGGCTCTCCTGGAGGGGCAGCTCAGCCCAGTCCATCATCTGTTCCTGGGTGCTGGAGTGGTGGGCTTGTAGTTTAGGATAACCAAGGTGATGTCAGTGCTCCTTGGCCCTGCCCCATGGAGCAGCACGTTACTGATCCAGCAACGTGACCTGAACATGAGCATGAAGAGTTGAGTCTCTTCCCATGAGCAAACTCTCTTTAATAGCCTGGGGGTGGATGTGGGATGGTCTGTCTGTGGTGTGCTGCCCACTGATAGGCTTTGAAGGTGGAGCTGTTGTCCACTCTAGGATGATGAAGTGATTTCACTACTCTTTCACGTATAAAGTTAATTGCTTCAAACTCATTGTGATCTAGAGATGAAAATTCATTTATTTTTCAGGCATTTACAAGAAAGATGATGTGCACCTGCTTCTCCAGGTTTATCAAGTAACGGGGCCAGTGGAGATCTTTGTCAACAAGTTCAAAAATGACAAATGGGCTCTAGATGGACACGTAAGTGCACGGACATGTCATCCACAAACTCCACCCACACAGCTCCTCCTGTTGCTCTCTCAGCCCCAGCTTTTCTCTTGCTGAAGCTGAGGGAGTGACTCCTTTAGCTGGTGGCAAGATGAGGCCACTATCCTCCAGTGACCTGCCTGCTTGAAGGGGTCACAGGGTGTTCTCCCAGCACACGAGGTGATGTTACACAAGAGTCAGCTCTTCAGGGCTCCCTTGCAGCTCTGGGGGGTTTTATTGCCCTGGGGCTTGTATCTGGAAGTCCTTCCAAAAGGAGAAACCAACGTAATTAATTCCACGTTAATGTTTTATACCTGTTAAACATGAAGCCAGAAGAGCTCATCTTCCCTTATGGAGTCAACTTCTCAGCCCAGTTTCTGTGTCTTGAGTTTTCATGCCCTTAAGAGATCCACTGAAGCTTAAAAGAAACATGCATCTGGTTGACCCACGGCCAGTTGTAGCCCGGAGCCTTTGCTGTCCCTGTTGGATCAGCAATATGTTCTCCAGTTTATTGCAAATAAGATTATTTGTTGTTTGTTTTCCTTCCCTTGAGAAGTGAGACTCTTAACAAGTTGTTGGGCAGTCAGACTTCTTAAAAAATGCCACGTTTTTCTGGGGAATTGAATCAAATTATTGCTATGCATGAACTTGAAAGAGGCTGTGATACGACGGGTGTTAAAGTCCCAGGGAATTGTGGAGCAAATCTGTTGATTTCTGCTCTCCCATCATTGCAGGTCTCATCAGAGTCTTCAAGTGGCACGTTTGTGTACCAGGGCTTTGTGCGTGGCAAAGGCTTCGGGCAGTTTGGCCTTCAGAGACTTGGTAAACAACTTCTGTTGACTGCTTTTTCCCTTGACTGATGCAGCAGCTCTGCCCTGGCTTGTGTTTAAATAGTAGATATGTGGAACACTGGATGTTCTGGCAAGGGTTGCTAAACCCCTCTGTAATGTAAGACTTGTGGGAGGTGGACAACACAACACCACAATTTTTACTTAGGAACAAAAGGAGGCATTAAAATAAACAGGTTAGAGTTTGGAGCCACAGATAGGACCTGGACACCCTTCCCCACGTGGTGTCAGATGTCTGACCTATAACCCCAAGTTCCATTGCTACCACAAAAAGTGTCTTGATCTCACTTTCAGAAATCAGAGGCAGCTGAGAGCTTAGACAACCCAAGGTCTAAGTTCCTAAATACCTCTTAAAATGTGGCTTGAGCTCTTCAGCCCCTTAGGATTTTTGAAATCTGACCCTCGAGTCTTGTCATCTTTATGGAGAATTAGATGCTCATTATTGCAGCCTTTGAAAGTCTCCCTTGAAGCCTAACTTTAAGCATCCAAGTTTGAGCTTGTGGGTAAGATAAATCTATTTACATCTCTTTTTAATTGCACTTCTAAATAAATGATGACATCTAAGCTGGACTAGATCTCCAAACCATTCTTCATGCAGCTCAGCAGCTTTTGATGACCTTTTAGAGGCAACACTTCTTACCATCTTATTCTGTTGCTGATGATGTTACCTCCCACTCAAGCAAACCCCATTTCCCACAGCAGGGTTTTGAACTGTGTTTCCTTCTGCTGTGTTTCAGACATCAGCATGATGGAAAATGATCCTGAATCGATAGGACACCACTTTGCATCCAACAGCAGTTCTGTGGCAGCTGCCATTCTTGTGCCTTTCATAGCCCTGATTATTGCAGGGTTTGTGCTTTATCTCTACAAACACAGGTGGGTTTGGGGAGTGATGGGGGTGGGGAGGGGGTGGAACAAAATCAGGAGGTGCAGAAATATCTGTGAGGTGGATTTAAAAGCACTGCCCACAGAGCTGGCTTCTCGTTTAATTCAGAAGGGGGGAAAAGTCATGGAGCAAGTGTGTGTGGAGGGGCAAGGGTGCTGGGAGGAGGGAGCCTGGGGGGCTTCTGTGGGGAGATGTGTGGCAATGGGGAGTAGGGTAAGGGACAGTAAATGTCACACTCCAGTGCTGAAGTGTTCACACTGTAAAGGGGCTGTTCCTGCTGCTGGAAGCACCGTGGTGAGCATGCCTGGGGCCAGAGCAAAGCCCAGGGCACTGCTGGTGCTGCCTGGAGTGGGAGTTTCCACAGGTCCCTTCTGCCCTATCCCAGGGTGTTTCCTCTCTTCAAAAGCAGCTTTCTCACTTCCAGGGGTTTCCCATTGTTTTGCCAATGACCAGGCCCAACAAAAATTATACCACCACCAGCAGGAAGATGAACCAATACACAGACTGTATTGTAGACAAGAAGGACATTGCATGAATGATCACTGGGGGTACAGACAGATCAATCAGCTGGTACATCATTGACACCACCCCCAATGATCTCACAAAAGATGTGACTCTGCCCACAACAGGGGGTACAAACAGAGACCTGAGGTTGCCCACAGTTGGCATGGGAAACAGCCAGAGCAG